TAGGCTTAAAAGAAACACCAAGAACAATTTAATACAAACAATACAGAAACATACAGCAATGGTTGGTGCCTGACCCACGACAGGGACTTTATCAGAAGTCATCCTCCATGAAGAGTAGCTAATAGCAGAGAAGATGGTGATGCTTGCCATAAAAGAAGGGAGAAAAGACAGTAAGTTCCATTACCCACCACCCAGCCCCTGGTCTGAACCATTTAACCCCTTGAGCATATACTAGAAACTTCAGTCTTTACAAACTTGTTTTGTGCATCTTAATTTCTCTGGCCTAGGAAAACACCATTTCACAGATGGGTGAACTTAGATAGATAATCTGCCACCTGTGCAGAGCTGTAGCAACAAATCAAGTCCATCCAAAAACGTAAAGGCCTCTGAAAACACCAATCACGAACCTGTGAAAAGTCCTTGGTTGGGCAGGGAGAGAAGGCAGGGGTGATAAAAACTAAGACAAGCTAGCAGACCTCACTTGAAGAGGCAGCTTTTCTTCACATCTATGGCTAAGCTTTTTATCCTTAAGTGACACCATCTGTTCTGACAGACAGTTTTATAAAATTTGAATAAGGTGACCTGGTTAAAGCATGCCTGTTATATGGAAATGCCAGTGTCATATGTGGATGTGGAAAGGTCATGGATGGCTCATGCAGCTTCTCTTCCACAGTTATCCAAGCACTTTCAGCATCTCATCACAAAAGGCAGGACAAGCCTTTTTTGATACCCCACAACACAAAGTGAAACGTGGTTTTGATAACAATGCTGCAATAACTTTTCTACTATCTTACAAAGGCCAGGCAATGGTGTTCATAAATGATACTCCTTTAAGGTAAGTATTTAATTTATATAGGCAAGTTTTTAACATATGAGGTCATGCTCCATCCTCTCCCGCTTTTATAGTATGATCACAAATACTGTAAAAGGACCAGCATTGAGGACATAAATATGTCTCAGAACATTTTGTTGACAGATCTACTGATCACCTGGTTAATGACAACAAACAAGGTCTGGAGATTGCACTATCATTTGGTGGTGACTGGAAACCAACAGCAGTAGAGAAAAGATGATGGTGGGTCAATGTGAAGCGACCTTCCTCTTTTTCCAATCAAGAGGCTTCTGCCTGAAATTAGACTAGAGCAAAATATAATCATCATGTCCTTTTTTTCCCACTTCTCCTCACCACAGTTTGACATGACCATGGGCAGCCTCTGTCCTAGCAAAGATTCCAGGAATGTGACAATGCTGGTTCCATATCATGATTGAAGGGCACTGGCAAAGTGCAGGCAGGAGTGTTTAATATCTACCTGATACCTCACTTCATGTTTCATCAGTGCATTTGGTCCCTTCTTTTGGAAAGCCTTAACCCAACCATAAACAAAGATTAAAAACTTCAGTGCTTGGGTGTGAGATTATAAGAGAGCAGAGCACTCATTTTTTAAAGTAATTGATGGGGATATTTGTGTTTTTTAAAAAGTCATGAATCCAGAGCTATATGAAATTATTTATGTCTGTGTTTATGTGTGCTTGTACATATGCTACACTGATATATAGAGAGGACAATTTTTAACTGTAAGATGTGTCCCCTGCTAAGTACTTGCTACGGGATGTCAACTAGACTGGATGTTCGTAATTTTAAGATTACATGCTACTAGAAATAGTTCTAATGAATAAAGTATTCTATTTTTTAAATTCAAAAAAACTCCTTACAAAAAAACCCAACAACCAACCCACAAAACAGTAGGTTCTCTTTCTCAAAGGCACCTTAATGCTGAAGATTTGAAGGAAGCTGCTGCCCCCTCTTGGCACTACATACAAATGCAAATACTTTGCACTAAAAATGAGGATTCCGGTCACAAATTGCAATTACTAAGTAATGTACAAGTTTGGGGGTGGAAATAGCATAAAACTGAGACAGCCCGAAGTGCACTTGCCTATTTAACCAGGCAACCAAGACAACCTCATTAACTTACTGAGATGTAGGGGTCATAATACATAGAGTTGCCATGTTTTTCATTTCAAAATACAAGTTAGTAATACGTGACCTGGATTTAAAATAACACTTGAATAAGCACAAAAGATCTCAAAAAAAAATCCTGCTGGCTTCCTGAATTGTCTTATAACACCCCATGTCTGTCATAAATTAGAACACCTAAACTGGCACACTCACCAAAAAGGAAGATCAAATAAAGGGGAATGTGTGCAGTAGCACTCGACAGCTACACAGAAATCCCCATTTATTGTATATAAAATGTCAGTTCCTCAATTCCAAGCCCAGAGCTGTCACCCTCAGCAGCTGAGGTATGTTCCCATTGCAGGGTTTATATTGTAGCAGCCATTGGGAATCCCTTCTCACAAAACCATGGATAACCATGCAAATTATAAATCAAAACAAGAGGAACTGGTGCATTTGTGGACATAAGAGGACCAGCATAGGCAACCTACAGCAACCTTCTTCCCCTACCTTCAGCTGAAGAAGAGTCAATAGCAGCAAACTCTCTACAGGTTGTTCCAGCAGAGAGTGAACACAGACACCCCATTTCTTATTTGAAGGGAACACATTCAAGCCCAGTTCAGCAGCATGATTGTTAATGCTTCCATTCCCCTAAAGAAATTGATAACAGACATAAACACTTGGACAACAGCAAATAAAATAACATTAGAAAAAATATTTTCATGCCAATCTGGTTTATTTCATTTGACAGTAGTAGTATCTCTGCAAATATTTAGACAGCTAATAGGTAAATGAAGACTTAATCAACAGGATTTACAGACATTTACAGATATATTTGAAGACTTGCAGTTTTAACAGAAAAGTTACCAGCTGTCTCCCAAGCACCCCTGACTTCCAGCACTACAGGCAATCAAAACATGTCTGTGACTGCCTGTTCTTTCACTTTACTTGTTTTTACATTTTCCTAACCTTCTGATTGAGACCCAGCTATTGAAAATCAGGCAGCAGAGTGCCGATGGCCTCACAACTGATGGAGGGGAAGCTGGGGAGATGGCTCAGGCTGCAGTGCTTTTGCACTTCAAAAAGGAAATTTTAAGAAATAGAGTGCCAAAAACTCAATGATGGAATTGTGATTACTATCTCCTGTAGAAAGTTACAAAGAAAGAAAACCAGCACAACTTTAACTAGTTTTCCTGCAATCTTTTTTAGGGATCAATAGATGGACTACTAACATACCTCTCACGGGGGACTGGAAGAGCATTCTCCTGCCAGAGCCTTCAAAACATCGGCAGCTCCAACACTTACCTAGGTAGAGCTGGGAAGCACAAGTCTCAGCACACAAAGTTGAAGGCTGACAAAGAGATACCAAATAATTAAACACTTTTTATAGAGTGTGGAAAATTTATGCAAGTGACTTCAATTTTTGACCTAAGAAGTGAAAACCCTTGAAAAATATCACTTGGCCTTTTTCAACCACCTGGCTTAGAAGCATTGTCCTGCACAGAAGCAGGCATGAGGAGCAGATACCAAAGTATGTCTGAAGCAGGGGTACATCAGGCAAACACAGCTAAGGCAAGACTACTCCGAAGCATAAGAAGCAACAGTTGCCTCGTTGAGAAAAGCAAATCCAAAGAAGTTGAGTATTTATCTTTCAAAGTCATCACATTTTCCACTTCTCAACTCCTAGGTTCCCTTCCAAATGTGAAACTTCTAAAGAATTAGAAATCACATTATCCTGGAAAAGACACACTGGACAAGCTTGTAATATTTTTCAATTGCTGTAACATAATTTCAAGCTTGTAAAGCAAGCTTGAAATATTTTAGCCAATTTTCTTCTCAGGCCACTGAGCTGAAGTTTTAACCAAAACAGACTTCCCACATGCACCCTAAGTCAGGATGTGTTTCTCTTCTCTTCTGTCACATGTGGATTCCTGGAAGAAAAATGCAGAGGACTAGTGAGCAGCCTCTGAAGTCTTTCAGTAGGGCACTGGGATACAAAGAAATTTTGAATGATCTTCCTTGACCCCAGGTGACATAAAAAAGTAATTTTCTTTCTCCTCTTTCCATTTTCATCTTCATTCATAGCTGCCTCTATTCCTCTCCTTGTTTTATGACAACTCAGGCAAGATTTCTCTGCTTTCCCTCTTCCTTCCATCTGCTGAAGTCACCCATATCCAAACCCTTCTAAAAATTTTAGAGTTAAAAAATACTTACAGTTCTAGCCCTCACCAATTGTCCATTATACATCTTTTCATCCAAAATGACTCAGCCTTGTCTATTGAGACAGTTCCTACACTCACAGTTTTCTACTCTCTACTTACACACTCTCAATAAGTCCTTAAGTACTACCATAATTATACTACTAACCACAGCTACCAAACCACTACCTTTCATTGGAGCTCTCTGTTCATTCAGATGAACTTGATGCTTTAGGGCAAGATGATCACTCAAGTGTAGGTGAGAGATTATTTCTTTTAAAATACAATTTAGAATACAAAACAGACACTTAATCTGAACAACAAGACCTTAATATCAGGACTAAAAATTGTAACTTAAACGTGTTTCGTAACTTCAGTGGAAAACTCAGAATACACTTATTGTTCATAATGCATGGGAAACAAAAAAGGCAGTATCCACAATTTTACCCAAATGACTTAACTGGTTGACAGGTTTGGGTCTTTGTAGCTCTTAGTCAAGGGCTTCAGAAAACTTACGGTATTATTATACAGCCAGACACTGCAAATATTTCTTTTTTTTTTTTTTGTTAACTGAAGAACATTCGGCAGAAAACGTATCTCAATGAAATTATAAACATATCCTATAACTATCTTTCAAAAAATGTAATTTGCTATTAACCATTGCTGGCCAAGACTGGAGTAGAGTCAAAATTACGCAGTTTTGGTTTGCCCCATATTAGTTTTTAGGCCAGGTGAGAACTACATGTTTAACAGAAAAATGTCACATACAAAGGTGGGTGCTTTTTATATATAAAAAAAGAAGAAAATTAAATACAAGTCTGAATTAGGTGCAGAAATCACTGCAATGCAGAAGAGTATATTTATTTGCAGGCTAATAAAAATATATATTATATTCAGCTCAACGAGATGTATACATTTTTTGCAAAATGTTGTATCTGTTACAGAAATGAGAGTAACCCATGATGTAATTAAGTTTGGACAAATACAATAAATACCTTAATCTTGTCTGATACAACTGTGGATTAAAATATAGTGAGACAGATACAAACTATCTTCACTGCCAAGAACACACTTCTACAAAGGAAATACTATGTACAGCCTTTGATCAGACTTAAATTTATTGCCATAAAGCATTTTCCTTATCTTACATGCTTTTAATTAACAATGGTCCCAGATGCCAACACTGTCCACCTTTAGCTTAGAACACAATTGTCTCGCTGAAAATTTTAATAGGCAAGGAATTATCTACTAAAAAAAAGAATTGCAAAATTATCTTTAGAATATTATTTTATTTTTTTAAGTAAAAATATATATGCACACACAAGTAAACCATTTTACACTTTAAAAATAAAAATGATGTCTGAACACTGACTTCCCTCAGGAATTCTTCCAAGTCTAACTCATTCAACCCCTGGGAATCAGCAGGACTGAGTCTTCCAGTTACTGACAAAGGGAAGAACACGTATTTGTCTACTGAATCTGGAAATCTCAACTTGCAAAACTTTTCTCAGTTTAAATATTAATCTCTAAGCATCTCAGTATGATTACAAATAAACCAGCATGTTAAATCAGCTGGTAGGAAGTACAGAGTACATGGACACAGACTGTAGCGTCTGAGCAAAATCCTCCCATTCAAGACTTTCTAAACAAAATTATAAAAACTGTCGGGAAGGAAATCTGATGATAATTTATTGCTACCTGATTCATCTACTCCTAGTCATGTTCCTTTAGTTCTCATATATAGTCAAAAACAGACAAGGTAAGAGCAGAGAAAAGGGTCTAGCAGATGAAGAAGAGAATACGACATCATGTAAAACTGGTGGACAAGAAATGTTAAGAAAATAACTCTAGAAACATTCCCCCACTTCAGGCTAAAACTGATCAAATGCATTAAACAGAAAACAGGTGTGCCAAGAAGTAAGGAAGAACAAATAAATTAAAAATTTCACTTTTCCCTCAAATAAAAGGAAACCGTACAGGCAAACTTACTGCCTTTTTAAAAAGTTACACGACTGGTTGGACAAGCCTAATTTCTAAGAATTGCAGCAAGATTCCATAAAGCCATGATTTTCAAGGACAAAATGACCACTACTTAGCTTTGAACTATCCCTCCTGACAGAGAGGACATTGAGTGTTCCAGGCTACATACAGTTTCAGAATGCACTCTGCTTGAGTAGCTGTGGGAAAAACACAAATTTGAATGCAAAGTTCTGGCAGTGGATTCATCTGCTAACACACAGCCAACATGTCCTCAAGTTTTTGAAGCTTCAAAAAAAGAAACATGCCTGGGGACCTGTTTCTTCTTCACACAACTTTATTTTTAAATACTAGTTTCTGTTCAGTGAAAACTGTACAGCCTTGACTATTTTAAAAACCTTCAACAGTATGCTGTATGACAAAGACTATTATAAAAAATGAACCAAATAATGTTATTCCACTGAGTAAGTGGAAATGATGCACGCACGTATACACACACAAAACTATCGTGTAAATAGCGAAGTTAAGGGATTTATAAATAGCAAAATCTTTTAATAAAGTATATACATTTTTAGGCTTTTTCTATAAACATATATATATATATAGTGCTCCTAGGAGAGACAAAGTAACTGTGTTCTACATCACAATTTAGAACATAAGATTAGTTGATGTTACTCTAAAGGCCTTTGAGTTTTTTTCTTATGTATGTACATCCTACACAGTAACACTTGCAAAGATGTCTTTTCACGTTAGTTCCTCTTTCAATGTACAAAATCTTTTCACATTACAGTTCAACAGCCCACAGAGAAATGGGCAGGAAACACAGCACTGCATGCTGAAATAATAAGTGCGTTGACAATGTAGAGCTTGTTTGTGGAGTGTTCTGCACTTCACCAACAGATCTACAAATGGAGTATGAGAAACTGGTCAAGACACTGTCCTCAACATTGCTGTCTGCAGCCCTGTCATGGGCCTTTAGATGTACACCAATCAAAAACAATTTTAAGATATGCTGCTCTCACAAAGGCAGTAACATTTTGTTTCAACAGTAAGACAATTTTAAGTTAATAGGACACGGATAGGGCCAGACACAGTATCATTCTGAGCACCTTCTGTAAAGTACTGTGCACTCAACTTCCACTTCTTTAAGGATTATTTTAATGTGGAATTAATATGTTCAGTACCCATCAAAAGCACTGAGCATTTCATAAGGTAAAGCTAATAATGACCAACTCCATTAGCAGTAACCATATCCATTCAAAACCAAACACTACATTGACGATGCTCAGAAAAAAAATACCAAAGGGCCCACATAATTGTGAGTAATTTTTAAACTAATTTCACCTTTAGAACCCTGTAATATGGTGGTGAATTTAAATTAAAACAACAATTCCAAAAATCTCACTCATAAAATTATCATGGGCTGAAAGATCATGATTAGCAAGTAACCCACTACCTATTTGGGTTTTGATAGTCTTTGCTCCAATAAAAGCTCTGATCTGCCCCCATCATCCTTCTACGGTTTAAGCACCAAACTTAACATCAGTTGTCCCTTTAAAACATCAAAGGGTCAAAATGAAGCTGGCCACATACTATTCTACTTCCTTAGGGACAATCAATGAGACTAAAAGTGGAGTGTATTGAGGTTATTAATTTTAGAAATCCCACACTTTGGTGGATTACTCTTTTATTATTAAAAGGAATCCATTTCACATGCCATGTGTTAGGTAACTACTGTGTGTCACGCAAAAGACAGTTTTCCACATTTAGAATTGCTCACAATGAAGCCCTGAGGTAACCGCCTTTTTTCCAGGCAACAGTAATACAGTTCTCTTGACGTTTAATCATCCTTTTACAACCTACTCTAGTATATGCAACTTTAAGCAGTCAGTATTGATTATCAATTGCTCCCAAAGATGGGATTTGTCCAGTTGATTTTTTTGTTTGATTGATTGTTTTTAGGATAAAGACTCAGCAGAATGAGCTAATTTGGGTGCAGTGTCTTCTAATGAACCTTCAACTGAATTCCCCAGGTCTCCATTCTCATGTCCATCAATATTTGGCTTCTTATCAAACACTGTAAGATAAAAAGAAAGTTTATTTAAGGAAGTGAAGCAATATTGGGAAGGACAGATCAGTGATCCTTATTTCAGAAACTAGAAAGCGTGCTTAAATGACTACTCAAAGCTAACAGTTTTTTAGCAGAACGTAGTATGTCAGGAAAACGGGAACTGTTTGTTTACCTCTCTAACTTAACAATTGTATCTGATGAAGCCAACAACATTACGTGTTACTGGGCATTAACTACTCCCAGACCAGAGGCAGGAAAAGATAGGAATAAGTTTGAATTTCAACCTTTGGAAAAAAATGACCATGAAAAAAATCCATAAATTAATTCAGTTAATTCAGGTGTATCTAAGTAAACCAGGCCAAAGAGTGAGGGACCAACCAGAAGAGCTGACGGTCTATGAGTAGGTTAATTGAATTAACAGTAGATTAATTTCACAATGAATATAAAACCAGTGTTTTCCCTAAATTGGTTTGCATATTGAGAATTAAACTGCATATAACACATTTTAGAAGGTTTACCTTGTGAAGGTTTGACATCCACATTTGCATCTTTCCTATTAGAACCTGAATTTGCACCTTCCTCCAGTTCATCAAGGTATAAACGATAACGGTGTCCACTCTCATCCTCATATTCCACATTTTCATCATCCGAATCAACTTCTGGAGCAACATACACTACTTCAAATTCAATTTCACCTCTCTGAAATGCAATGAAAATTACAAATTTACTTACTACTGCACAGCTACCTAAGGATTACCAAGATGAGCTAGGTTACTAAAACAAATACATTTTACTATTGTAAACACATTTGCAATTGTGTTGAGTATTTTGGACACATATCTGAATTAAGCTTTTACTGACTAAAATAGTACAGCTCTATAGCTAAGCTGTATTTTTTTTTTACAAAATTATCTGAATTTCTTAGATATATTCTAATATATTTCAAACAGTGACTTCTAATGAGGAAGCCGTCTGCTAAATTAAACAGATCTGTTAACCATCTGAAAGAGGAAGGAAGAAGACTCTAGACCACAAAGAAACACTGTTTGGCTGGAGCTGTTCAGTCATAAAAGACTGAAGTGTATGTCCCTAAAGAATTATTTCTGTGGGGCAATGTGACAAACCGATTTCCATCAGCCTAACTGAATTAGCCAATACATGCATTTAACTGAACCAGTACTGGCCCAGCATTTTTCCTCCTTAAATTGCAAGACATAAGAGGATTAAATGTAAGGTGACACAGCCTCAGGAATCACTGCAGCTTAGCATTACACTGTGCTTAACAGTAAACATAAAAATTCAAAGTAATTCAACAGGCAGAACACAAGAAGCACCTAAACGTGCTTATGGATGACCGGTCCCAACTGACCTGTTGGGAAAGAATATTTACAGCTTCTTTATGTTTGGCATCTCTTAGATTAACTCCATTTACTGCCAGAATAGCATCACCAACATGCAGTCCTCCACATCGATCAGCAGGTTGCCCAGGATGGATTTCGGAGATCAGTATTGGAACACCATGCTCCTTCCCACCCTATTTAAGAAAAAAAAAGTATATTTTAATAAACTGAGATGCCCTTTAACATAAAATCAACATGCAGGTAATTGCTCCTAAAGTGCTTATTTCAACTTCTATTTTAGAAAATTAGAAATCATTCTTCAGACAAAAAGAATCTTTAAGAAGAACACATGCAATGCTTCCTTTAATTCTTCTCCCCACAACAGAATGGAATATTTCAAATATGTACTCAAAGAGTCAAAGGAGGTAATTTTGAATAATAATAACACTATATACTCATATACAAGCTGATGAAAAGCTGAAAACTTCATTTAAAAAAGCCTATCAGGCACCATATTGACTTGTAAGAAACAGTATTCATATTTAGAATACAAGTATAACAGACAAAATTTTTAAAATTCGTTGTAAAAAGTTTATACAGCTTTTTTTTAGGTATGAGATGCCAACACAGATACTTAGAAAAAAAAGGTTATAATCACAACAGCTAAGGTCTGGTAGTCAGGTCTCAGATTGCCTCTGCTCTTCTACACACTCACCACACCTGAAATTCACCACTGGCAAGTGTCTATACCTTAAACCTCAAAATAATAAGTTTGACATAAAGTAGCAATTATCTATTTTCTAATCTATCAAAATGTGTCTTCAAGTTCTATGACCATAGTTATGGATTTTTGTATGTTTTTTTCATATGTTCTAACAATACATTTACTGATCCACATATTTTACAGAAGTAGGACTTCGGTGTCATAGAAAATAAACGCAAATATTTACTGTGATTGAAATTCCTAAGCCTTCATGGTCTTCTTTAACTAGCAAAACTTTTCTGATCGGACCAACACCTTGACTCTTCTTTAAGGCATCAGGATCCTAGTTTGATAAAAAACAAACATAGCACAAACATGAATGTGTGAACCAAAAACTGATGCATTTCAGCATTTTGGTTTTTTTAAATTATATACAGGCACTGGATGAGCAACAGAGTTTTAGGCTAGCTCCAGGCAGGACAACTTACAGTGCCCCATTACAGAAACAGTATGAAATCAGAAAAGATTCTCCATCATGCACCCCTGATGAGAGTAATTATTTAAATTATTTTAGTGCTGAATGATGCACAACACAGAACTTAACTTCAAAAGAAGGAAATCACCCACATACTAAAAATATAAAGGGACTACATGAAGAAATGCCGAACACTGCTAAAATGTTACATGATGTAAACTCAACTTATAACTAACCAAATGACAGAAGAGGTAATACAGTGCCAATGAAGAGGTTGCTTGCTCAAGTTTATTTTTATTGTAATAAAACCAAACCAAACCAAAAGCCATTGAACACAAAACTAAATGCCAGACTAAATAAATCAAAGTATTGGTTTTTGCTTTTGTTAAGTCACTGACAGCATTATGCACACTCTTAAAATCACACACATATTTGTCTGCCAATATTTTGTATGCAATCAGGAACATAAGAAGTAAGACCCACCTGACCAACTAAGGTATTCAGAACAGATCAAAGTAAAGCACTTTCCTGAAAACATTTGGGTTTATGCACTGAACACTGGAGTGATTAACAGGACATGTGCCACACTGGGTGAGTTCTAAGATACCCACAGTGAAATGCTGTTTAAAGGTTTAGTTTTAAAAAGTACCTTTATGAGGAAAAAAACAAAACAAACCAACAAATTATTTTACAGTGTCAATTTATGTGGTCTTTAAAAAAAAAAATTAAATTTACTTCAGTTTAATCTAATCCTAAAAATGTTATTCTTGTTTTTTGTAAGTAAGTTAGCTCCACATTTCGAAACCCAGGTTACAAAATTATGCTGTTAAATTTATATTTATAAACACACATAGCAGAGGCTCAGTTTTCAGAAGGACTGGGTGTTCACAGGTAAGTCAAAGGAATTGTATCATCTTTCCTGTCATCTATAGGGACACACTATTCAGCATGGAACTGTCCCTCAGCATATAGAAGAATTATGCATTTACAAGTGACATTTGAAAGAACACAATATTAAAGTGAAAACAATCACAAAGATGAAGTAACTTGTGTCTGTTTCCCACAAATGGTGGAAATCCTGGAGGAATGGCTTATCTTTTCAACTTACATGACCTGGTGGTGCTTGCATTGGTCGTTTCAGATCATTCCGACCTCGACACGCTCTAATAACAGTTTTGTGACGGTGAAGGTGTATTTCTGCTTCAAGCTGATTCCACAGCTTGTCATGAGCGGGTCCTTTCATATCTCGGCCCAGTAACTGAATCTGCTGGACCCTAGAGAGTGACAAAGAGAGTAAAACAAGATGCTGTATTACAACCAAAAAAATCAATGCATTGTACGACTCATACACTTCACGTGGCTACAGCACACAGTCACGCAGCAACTACTGCAAGAACTGTGGGGATTTTATTTCCACCTTCTGTTCAATTAACTGGAAATATGAGACTTTTCTTACTTAGTCTTAACTTTGAACCTGCCTCTGGGGATGCAAAGGAAGAAAACAGCACCAAAGAACATCTCATGCTAAGGGACGCAGATTGACTTCACATACCTTCCAGCTAGCTCCTTATCTAAATACTTGGCTGCTAGTCTTGCTCCATAAACCTCAGCCTGGAGCACTGCTATGTGTCTACGAAGGGCTTCATTCTCCTTCCTCAGCAACTTCACCTCAGCTTCCAGCTGAGCTTCTTTCACTTTTTCTTTCTTGTTAGCTTCAAGTTCTCTCTCCTTTACAACAGCAAAAAGAGAAAAAAAAAAAAAAAAAGGAAAAATACGTTGAAAAGCCTTTATCCAAGTTAATAATGAAAGAGCACTTACTGTTTCTGCACACACAAACTGAAATTTTTCTCCTGCGTACAAGACATGCATGCAGTAAAAAAAAAAAAAAAGCATGGACTGGCACTACAGCTAGTGGTTTGCACACTATCCTATAAAAAGCTGGCAAAATTTAAGTAGACTAAATATCATCCTTACTTTTTACTGTCTTGCAAATGGAAGATTCAAAGGTAAAGAATACTATTTTTAAAATTAAAGGGTATCTATAAAGCCACTTCATATTTCAATTTGACCACATTCTTTAACTATTTGATGATGATGATGATGATGATTATTACGTCAAGGAAACGTTTAATAACGCCATGTGTCCTTAAAATGACAACTGTTTTCATGCAAACAACTGAGAAATGTCCAGCCAGAGACATTTCCAAATTAGAGTCTGAAGACCACATAAATAATGCCAGAGATTCTACACATAAAGATGCCCACCCTGACAAACTTAAAGGAAAATTAGTGCAAAATAGTTTTGTTAAAAAAAACCAAAACAAACTAAACAAAAACAAAACCCACACTAAAATCACACTTTAAGCCCTGCCCTCTGAAAAAGGAATTATGGAAACATAAATTAGTCCCACAGTGCTCCATCCCAAATGTACAGAAACATCACAGTTATTACCTTTTCCGATACCTAGGGCACTGGAGCAAAAGGAATTAGTATGCTCAGATTGCTAATCTACAAAATCTACTTTAAGGAGAGCACGTTTGATTACTTGTATCTTCATATCTTGCTCTGAATTGCTTTTACAAGGAGAGGAAACCCCCTCACCCCAAATAGGAAACAGGAAAATGGAAGAGACACAGGGTCTAATACTGTTTCCTTTAAAAAATGGCTGACAACTCAAACAACAATAAAAACCAATTTCACCATAATGCATTTTTGAAGACATTTAGAGTACCCAAAAAAACTCTTCTCTGTGCTTGTATCAATTACATTGTTAAGCAAATAAAACCAGGAAGTGCTACTAAAGAAGCAACAGGACAGATACAAAATTTTACAGAACTGGCAAGACAAATCTGTCGTCAAATTGTGAATATGATATTCACTGTTCCAAGCCTGGATATAAACCACTAATATAGTCAGTATTACCACATTTGAGAAATTATGCAAGGTTGGTCCTCCCAGAGAGTTATTTTCACAATAGATACATGTAAGCATTTATAGCTATTTGACAGAAAGTCAACTCTGAATTTGACGGACTCTACTATCTCCCTCAGCTGCTAAATACTTGTATCAGGTTAGACAGATGGATAGAGAACACCTATGTACGTGTTAGCCTAGCATAGTGCTCAGTAGGAGCAGCACAAAGACTGCTTGAAACTTGCATTTCACTTCCTGTCATTCCCATATGCACATTAGAAAACATGTCACACAAAGCCACTTAAGGTCTCTGGTCTTTGAGTTGAGGCTTGTCTTGTGAGAATGACTCTCTTCAGCAAATCTCTTTCTGAACTGCAGGATCACTCCTAAGCCAAGAATTTTCACTAATCTACCTTTCAAGAATAGGAGTTCTGAAGATTATACCAATTCTTTCTACTATTTTGGTCTTGGGCTTTAATTCACAGCTACTGCCAGTAGCCAAAGGGCAATTACAAGAATTCAAGAGTGCAACCATGCTGTGTTGTCTCTGCCACACACCCTGGCAGTGAGAAGGGTCACAGTTCAGATATAACACCTGTTTTACAGTAGCTGCAAAGTCCATATACAGGTACAGTGCCCCTGTTCACTATGTACATATTGCCAATATCACGCCAAGGTGTTCTAAACAGGATAGGCTCCCTGTTCGTACACATACTGACTTTTAGAATGTCTTTTATTTGACAAATATAAAAAGATAAAGACTAGAATTTAAGACAGACATATTCCAACCTGCTTCAGAAAATTGTATTGTTGAAGCAATCCAAGATATTTGATAACAGTAGCAAATTTCATGCAGCACATTTTACTGCATTTATACAAAGTATCCAGCTTACACACTCTCATCAGGACTGAAATTTTCCATTGATTTTCTCTGAATTTGGTTTGTTATTTAAATTAAATTCAAACAGAAAGCCAATGTTACATTTCTAAGTAGAATCACTTTTAGTCATGCATTTTAAATGTTAGACCTAAAATACAAGTAACAGTGCAATCCTATAGAAGTATTTTCTTGCTATTTTCTCCATTACTACAACTAGTGTTCTATGACTGAGGTGGAAATGGCTTCACACCCAGAAGCCATTCTTTTCTGGACTGTCTCCAACTGATCACCACACGAATTTAAAAAAAAAATAAAAAAAATCAAAAGGTTTGCAATACGGAATCTCTGATAATGTACTGAAAGAACATATCTCGTTTTGAATGTCAGGAGATGTGACAAAAGTCCCAAAAATGCTTCAAGAAATCAAAGAAGTTACAGAATAGTTTCATGTTTTCTAGTGTTGATAGTATGGCACAGGTTCTGAAAATAGAAAACATATTTTCTGTTGGTAATATAAAAAAAAAACTAAACCAAAAATGCAACTGCAAGGTTGAAGATCAAAGCTTACAGTTACCACCTATCCTATGGCTTTTCAAAAAGCAAATACTGAGTAATGATAATAAAGTATATAAGATAATAAAAGTGGAAACACTTTTTAAAAACCTTTCAAGTCTATCACTGAGAACAACCGAAAGATAAAAGTCACCTTTGCTTCACTTTGTCTTCTTATCTATGTATTATCGTGTTTATATGCTTTTGGCTGTTGCACAAGACAGTACATCATATTAAATCAGATCCATAAAAAGAATAGAGAAAAGGGGAAAAAAAGGAAAAGTTGACAGGATTTTTTTACATACAACACGCAAAATACTTCAGATTACACTCACAGATGTGTACAGTGTTTATGCTTTAGAAATTGTATAACACATTTTTTGAGATACTGCCAGGACAATCTTTCACAACGTCAAGCTTCCAGATATCACCTCAAATTAGCTGTAGCAATAATAAATAAAACATATACAGACTTAGGAAAGAGGGCACCATATCTAGGAAAGAAATTTAAAATGCAAAGGAAATTCTTTACACAGCATCTTGCCAACTGTTAGGAAGAAAGAACAAGCCAGATCTGTTTTGCCAGTTTCTGAGGCCAACAAGCATATAAGTTGTTGCACAAAACAAAAGCACTGCTTAAACATAAAGAAAAATTGGCAATCAGCATACTTACCATTTCATCCACAGAAAGGACAGACTTAAGACAGAAGAAAAGAGTTTCATAATTAGAGAAAAAGGCAACAGAAACCTCAAGAAAATGCAACAACATAAATTATTTACTCCAAAAGACATTCACCAGCAGACTGTATATTTTATTAGAAGCCATAAAGAACAAGCACTCTGCTACAATTGTATTTAGTAACAATTTTGGTATTTTGCAGTAGAAGTTATCAAAAGCTTAGCCTTATTGTAGCATTAAAACCAATATTTTCTCCTAAAATACCAAGTATCTCTATATAGAATAGTGAGGTAATGCAATATACATGAAGGTATCACAAAAAACCATTCTGCACTATAACATCTGTTATGCAGATAACAGATTTTTTCCTTTCAGAAGGAATAACAAAATATGTGTTACAAGAGGGACACAAAGGACAGCAAGAAGTATCAGAAAAGGTATATCAACTGCAAAACTCGAGAAGAAAATTCAACTAGGCAATTGCATATTTTTAAAAAAGAAAGTGTTACTGTCATTGGAGTGAGATTCACCACTCCTAAAAATGGATTCAGCCTAGACTACATAATGTTATCAACTGTTTAGCAATATAAACATTTTGAAATGTCTTAGTTCACCACTAGGTACAAATTTATAGATTACAGCGTATACATTTATGCTAAGAGTCTACATACAAAAGAAGAGTGTGTCTCTCAAAGAAAGTCAACTAGTACAGAACTTTACTTCCCCATTACACATTCTGTTGACACAGTCCTTCTTTGCCCTCAGAGGCTTTCTGACTGCCAGAAGGTCAGTACAACAGTTTTTATTTACCCAAATATCACAATTCCCATTTTATTCTTATTTCAGCAGCCTCAGTTTTGCTTGTTCTACCTTCACAGACCTTTACAGCTCGCTTTATCTTGAAGAGTTTAAAGTTGAGCTTCTGTCCATAACTATGGATTCCCTAAAGGTAAAGTAAAGCAAACTCCAAAGACTAGTTCTGATATTTATAAAAAGGAAAAACTAAGGGAAATTAAGGAGAGAATATCAGTCTAAGCTGTTAACAAAATTCAACTTCAGCACAGATAAAATCTGAAACTATGTAGAGTAAAATGTATTTATTGTCACCTGTGGGAAGAAAACTGCTGTCAACAGATTTAATATATCTTTAGAAATTGTTTATAACAAGGTAAAGAGAAACAAAAAGGTTAAAAGTATTACTCTCCATGTCACTCAAAAGTTAAGTCTAACTAATAAAATTTACTCACAGTGATGTGTTGACTTAAAATTTTGCTACATGTAAACCTGTAGCCTAACAGTTACAAAATGCTTATTAACAATTTATTTAACTAATGCTTATTTACAAACCCATAAGAATTATTAACAGTTCTAAATAAATTTCATCATACTTAAGCTATAAATCAGTACAGAATAAATTATGTACAGACAATCCAGAAAATATTATTCTTATACTGAATATACAAGCGTGTAGCCCTAAGAAGATTCAATTACAGCTTTTGGATCTGAAATAGAAGAATTTGGGTTACTGCTGTTATTCAGTGATTAGCCTAGACATCCTTTAAGCCTTATAGTCTATTACTGTGTTTTACTGTACATTAATTAACAAAATAGCAGAAGTATCTAATATTCCACATATACTGTGACTAGGTATTTGCAACCCAACTGTGAAGCAATTTTAGAAACAGTCAGAGATAGACTTGGATTCATGCCAACAGTTAGAAAACATATCTCTACAACACTACGTTACTTTTCTAATTTACAAAGTCTTAGTGTTAGAGCCTGAATTTGTGCTGTGGTAGTAACAAGGCAGACTAGGCTCTGGTTACCAGTCAATGCCAACTAATTGCACAGATTAATTATTATTAACTTTTGGTGTGCTTCGCAAAAGGACTGAGTTTCCAAAAATAATATTGTACAAAATTATCAGTGGTTTACTGAGTTCTTTTACAACAGTCTGCTGCATGTAGTAACTGCACCATCCATGCATTCACAGTACTCTTAAAGAGAAAGAATGACCACAGAGAGAGGACTGTGATGCCATCTACTCTCTCTCTCTTTCTGCATGGCAAACCAATCCCATTCTTACTCTTATCAGACTGTTATTACAATAAAAACAGTTAACTTATCTCACTTTAGGCTTTTGCAAAATCTGTGAAAATTTGGTTCTGTCTGTTTATTGGAAACTATTATCTTTTGCAACTTCAGTCTCCAGAAAAGCTCTATAAATCACCAAAATATTTTCTTATTTTACTTTAAAAAACCACTATGTAAAAACAACTTCTCAAATTCTAATTCTTTATTCTGACGTTATTTATGTTGTTTTTAATGGTTGCTAACAACCAGCCATAAATATTACTTAAAAAAGAAAAAGCTAACATTTTCAACATGAAAATCTGTAATCAGCTTATTAACACCTTCCACTGAAAAAATTCAGTCAAGAGAGGGAAAAGAATAATATAATCCTAGATTTAAGTCACCACACTCACCAGTTTTGCCTTAATAGCCCCAGAATCAACATTCTGACCAGTCTTGGCATGTAGCTGAAGCTGAACAGCATGGAGTTGCAAAAGCTGATCATGCACTTCCTTTTCCAACACTGCTTTCTCCGCCTGCGTTTCTGTCAGTTCAGACTTCAGATCAACTAACTGTGCCTGTGAAGATATAATCCATCATAGTAACGAGCAATGACTAAACAGAGTCACCAGAACTATGATACATAACACATCATTTGTTGGTACATGCATGTTATACATGGTGTATACAGCTAAGAGCACACGCTCTTCCTCTGTAGCCCAACCTAAGCACTGGATCATTTGCAGAATTTTCTCCCCAACTGCCACAAAATTAATTTACCCACAAAAGCAGCATCAAACAGCCCTACTGCCAAAAGCAACAACAGCTGAGTTCTTCCTCATGCAGACAATGACATGTGATGCTGATGTCCACTCCAAAACAGGGAAATGGCATTAAACCTATGTAGGGTGTACAACCGTACCAATGTAAACACAATTTTAAACTGTAATATTATTAAATCTTACTGAAAAATATTGATCAAAGCAAAATGACATTTATTTATGCAATGCTGAAATCAAATAATCTTATTTACAATTGGTCTATTATCAACAGCTTAACTGAAACAGCAAATTAGGTGGGTAAACTAGAAGCCACAAATTAGCATGCCCCTAGAATGGACATGTAGAAAACAAAAAATAGTTAGTAACTCTTGAAAAAGTGGTTTCGAGACATTTTAAAACCAGTTTTCATGAAGGGTTTATATCTGGAATAAAAGAACACGTTTACCGAGTTCCTTTTATCCTTAACTTCAAGTAGCATTTTATAAGACAAGATACATATATATGAGATTTAAAGCTACTATTTGCAAAAAAACCCACTCCCGAATACGATTTCAGGGGATTTTTAGCTAAATTCCCAGAGCATATTTTTGCTACCAAAAAATTTGGAACCGAAGAGCAAAAAGGAAAAGCCACTAACTCTAAAAAAAAGCCCTCTCATATTAAAGCAGGGTATTATAACAACATTATACTAATGTTCAAATTCACAATGAAGATATTCATTGCAAGTTGCAAGTTGCAATGCTCGCCCCATTCAACTACATAAATCACTGCTATAAAATGTCTGTATCAGTTAATGAAAAAAAAGCAGGAAGGATTTGACTATCAGTAGGGAGTACTTACTGGGTCTAACATTAGGTACATAATTTAAAGGGACAGCCTCCTTAAGCTTCCAGAGTAATTCAGACATAAGTAGGCTTTTCCAGAGGTGATTCAGAGCACCTAAATTAAAGTGCAATTTGATGAGATGGGTCAAGCCAATCTCCAGTTTGCTGCTGCCGACAAAAACATCTCCCTTCCCACGTTTAGGTGGAGCCTCAACAAACCAGGCTAGCATTTACTTTTTGCCAAGGAATGGAGCTGCATGCATTTCCACCTTCCAACTGCCAGAATGACAAAAAAACTTGAAAAATTTGTAAACCCTTGCAGAACTCCAAAGCAGAAATTGCCTTCTACAGAAAGATGATACTTTAAATATCACATAGTCAAATAGTTTCAGAGAAATGGGTTACTTACAAAACTGCACTGTTTTCCCCAGTGACCAGCCATGGTTACAGTCTCTCTGCTGTGGATTATCTACCCTCCAACAAAAGCAGACACACACCTGAACTAATGTAGCAAAAGAAAATATCCCTGGTATAAAAGGTAATGATATGGTACAGAGCAGACAACAAAGACTTTAATAATGAAGGCACAGTTTGTCCCAGTCATACTTTCTGAATAAGAGTATTTTGTTATTATTACATAAGGTACATATCACTTCTACTCAAAAAAAAAAAAAAAGACCACTAATGTCTTCCTCCTTTCTAACAGGTACTTACAGCTCACATACTGACTTTTATTGCTTTTTTTATACATGTAAACACACTCTCTCATCTGTTCTAATTCAAAATACCCGTAGAAGGGTAAAGTGGCAGAACAGATAAATTAGAGCAGTTTAATATGTCCAGCCTCACTTAGTAGAGAATGACAGACAAAACAGAGTTCTGGTGAGGGAAAAAAGAAATAAATTTATTTCCCTGTGCAAATTACAAAGACCAATGACAGCTACCAGTTTTGTGGCATGAATGATGCTCCAAAAGTATCACAAAAAGACTGTCAAACTCATAATAAAAAATAAAAATTGTACTCTGTATATGACCTATGGTTTAAATTCATGTCCTGCTGTTTTTATCATAAAATGGTCTGGTTTGAAAGGGATTGTACAGATCATCTAGTTCCAACCAGCCTGCCATGGACAAGGACACCTTGCACTAGACCAACTGCTCAGAGCTCCATCCAACCTGGCTTTAAACACTTTAAGGGATGGGGCATCTACAACTTCTCTGGGTAACCTGTTCCAGTGTCCCACCACCCTCACAGGAAAGAAATTCTTCCTAATATCTAATCTAAACCTACTGTCTCTCAGTTTGAAACCATTCACCCCTGTCCTGTTACTACATGCTCTTGTAAAGTCTCTCTCCATCTTTCTTGTAGGCTCCCTTCAGGTACTGGAAAGCCTTAATAAATAAAGAGAAGAAAATAAAGAGAGCAAAATGAGAAATAGTATGAGCATACATCATGGAAATAATCTGTTTACACATTATGAAAAGTCACAAATCTATCCCCAGGTACAGATGCAGACACAGGAGACATTCCAAAATGCAAACACAGCAAAGCTGGTTTCAAATCCTGTGATCACTTCTATGAAGGCTGACAAATCTTTATATTATTTCACAGAAGTCTTTGGTCAGCTCATTTAATTTTCCTTTATTTTACTCTTACGAGCACTATTTTTTACCCAAATTCCTTCAATTTGTTATAAGGGAAACATATGGAAAGACTGCTGGAAATTCAACAGCTCTATATTCAATTTTGGAAGCTACTCAGTAAAAACCAGACAGGGGACAGAGACAGCAGAGGAAATGATGAGCACGAACAAGAACTATCAGTAAGGCTATTCCTTCCTAGAGCATCATTCACTGCAGGAGGCAAGGGTTCTACAGAAAAAGATGGTCCCAAATAATACAATTTTAATATTTCAATTTGTATAAACACAAGGATAAATTAATGTTGCACAAGCAACTGTACTAATCCTTCACTGGCAGCTTTTTTGGATGTATTCTCCAATAAGACTGTCAAAGAGAAATGTCACGTATATTGATGGTCACCTGCAACTACTCTAGAATTTGCAGAGAAGTCAGCTGTGGGCAGAAGTAACAAACACCCAATCACAGGAGACCGTTGAGCTTCAGGGTCAAGAGCGTTCAGGAAAAGCCATCAAACAACAAATAGAGAACACAAACTTTCCTTGGGGAACAATAAAGGGCAGAGGGTGAAGAGAAGGTAGTGTGTTTACTTTCATAACATCCCTTTAACTGTAACTTGCTGATTCAGCCAAAAATGGAACTCTTCTGGGCAGTATCCAACTGTGCAGATTAGTACTTATCACTCATTAGCAAGTACCATACTGCAAGGTTACACCTGCTAACTCATTTGTGTCTATGCCCCAGCCAACACGCAGCTAATAGCACAACAGGACTGTGGTTCATGGAACTAGGATTTAATCATGAAAACCTACACCTAGACCTAGATGAATCAAGGACAAAGGACATGAGAGGTAGAATTTGCACAGCTCTTTTTTTCCTTTTATTCTGACATATGTTGGCAAAGTCAATGCCTTTTGAGATATGCTCATTTGTCTCTGACTCACTGAAGTCACGGATACTTTTCTCTGACCAAGATCTGTAACTGGAATTCGGTGCCAATGGCAATAGGAAGTGCTGGTCTGGACCTTACAACAGAAGCCAAAACTTACTGAAGTCAACTAGAAAATAAGCAAGTTTCTTAGTTATTAAAAAGGAAGTCAGGCTCGTTTCAATTCTCCACTTTCCCCACCTCTCTTGTCATGGACAACTTTTCCTGAAGTGCTCTGAAAAATGCTTCAGTTAAGCACTGCCTGCTAACTGAGAACTCAGAGAAGTTATGTAAATGAGTCAGCATGGAAAACATTAAGCAAAAAAAGAACAGCATTACTGACATCACTTATTCCTAAGTACCTCACTCAAGCTTGTTCCCTAATTTATCAATAATTATTAAACACATTACTGTTAATTCTTTGTACTTATTGTCCCTAGTCCATACACTGTCAAGTACACAAGACATGCTTCTTGGTTTCTTACCTTTTTTCTCCTCACTGTTCGGAATAAAAAAAAAAAAAAATACAACAAACTAACCTTTAAGAGTGATCTGATCTGTCTGTGGTGCAGGGAGAAAAGCCTGGTTTTCCTTCTCCTCCATAAAGTACTAGTAAACACAGGGTATTTCAGAAAGAGCTACTGCTTCAAATTATTGCACAAGCTATTTCTAAATTCCACATGAAAGTCTATATTTGAGTAAACTGAAGATCTTAGTCAAATTCACCAAATAGTACAACTCAGTATTTATCTTCCAAACAATCTAACATACAGATGATACCAGAAAAAGAGTTTTGAAAGGCTAACTAAATATTTACTCAGTTTTGGGGCATACTTTGTCATTTACCAAGTATTTTGTATTTCCCATTAGTTTATAACATATCATATAATTTTTTCATATCATGGTCTGAACTCTCAGAAAAAATACTCATTTAGTCACCTGTATACTTTTCATAGAAAAGTGAGCATTAGAATAACTAACCAAAATTATTTATTTCTGTAAGATCTCAGAGATACACTCAAAGATCGTATAATAACTTTATACATTGAAAAGATTAAAAATGTGACCTTGTCCTGAACAATTTACAATGTAAATATGTGAAGGAAACAAAGAAAAAATGTAAGATAAAGAGAAGCACAAATGCAGAGCTATTTGTGTGTAGAAGTGCACAACAGGAAGCAGATAGATGGCAGCTAAAACCACAACTTACCACTGCTCATACCCATCACTGCTTGAATGAGGCACTAAGATACAGCAATATCACAACCTCTTCAGATCTAAAGCATCAGAGGGAACACACAGAAACAGAGTAAACTTAAGAGAGTGGGATGATGGTGACTAACAGGTCATGTCAACAGGAAACAAACCCTCACTACTGAAAGGGAAACCAGCTGCAAGGGGTG